TGCCAACACGGGACGCGGCAAGTTTCCTTCCCTTGATTCAAGTTCTCACCCCTTGCTTCAAGTTTCCCACCCTTGCTTCAAGTTCCCTTCATGTTTCCCACTCTAGCTTCAAGTTCCCCACCTTTGTTTCATGTTCCCCATCCTTGCTTCAAGTTTCCCACCCTTGCTTCAAGTTCCCTTCAGTTTCCCACCCTTGCTTTAAGCTCCCTTCAAGTTCCCCCACCATTGCTTCAAGTTCCCCACCCCTGCTTCCAAGTTCCCCACCATTGCTTCAAGTTCCCTTCTTTTGCTTCAAGTTCCCTTCCTTTGCTTCAGTTTCCCATCCTTGCGTCAAGTTCCCTTCATGTTGCCCTTCCTTGCTTCAAGTCCCCACCCTTGCTTCAAGTTCCCCACCCCTGCTTCGAATCCCCTACCCCTGCCTCAGGTTACCTACTCTTGCTTCAAGTACCCCATCCATACTTCAAGATCCCTACCATTGTTTCAAGTTCTCTTCATGTTCCCCACCCTTGCTTCAAGATCGCCATCCTTGCTTCAAGATCCCCACCCTTGCTTCAAGATCCACACCCTGGCTTCAAGTTGACACACCCTGGCCTTTACATACCCACATGTATACAGTGTCACCCCTACCATTCCGCGTGTACAACGTCCCCACCGGGCCATCCACACTCAAGTGTACTTCATCCCTACCGTGCCCCCATGTAAAGCGTATCCCTCACCCATCGACATCACCCTATGGCTGGACCTAGCCCCCCCCCCCCCCCCCCCCCCCACACACACACACACACACACACTCCCCGACTGCATCCAACCCAGGCACACGACCGCTTTTACCCCCCTCCCCTCCGTACACCTTTTTGCAATCCTTTAAGAGTATTAAGTGTCTCCCCTACCCTGCTTGACCCCCACGCTCAACTTGTCGTCTCCGTGAAGCACCCCTACTCCGGCACGACGAGCCAGTGTTCAGCCCACGAGGAGCATGGATCAAGTGTAATGAAATCTGACATGCAAACGTCACTCTGAATTGCGTTATAGCGCTGCATGTTATCTCATAATATCGACTGATTGGCACCTAACCCTTAAAGTGTTTGCTGGAATTAGATCCCCAGAAGTATGAATGGCCGTTCTGAATACCCCTGACAGCTTCCGGTCGCAACGTCCGTATATTCGCCCACCCTCGAGTTTGGAACTAACGATCTACCGACTGTGAAGCAGGCAACTGGAACCTGGATATGCTTGAAGTTGTACTTTAGCTGAAAGATCTATTTAGGGTAAATCAATCATGATTCACTGATTCGAAGTTTTCAAAATACGTTTGTTTACTTTTATGACGTTTTTATTCATAGTGTGCCCGATAGCAAGTACGTATTGATAATGGAACATCAAATAGACTCACTTCGGGAACCAGAAACATTAATTTGACAAGGAGCATAAACGTCCCTGCGTGTTTCTTACAGGATGTTATTCTCGGGAAAGCCACATAGCCTGAATTGGAATATATATTTTGATATGGAAACATTTAGGAGGCCGTTTTTTTTAGATTATAGCCCTCGTTCTACTTTCCGCTCACTTTAACTGCCGCGTGTAGGTAGTAACGCCTCGCGTCACGCAGACCGCTGTAGTAACCGCTAAATTACATCAAAGGAAGCCATCGACCGATCTTTAAAGACTGGAGGAGCAAACGTAACACGTGACCTAAATACGTCACAACGGAATTCCGAGACATAACTCCAATTAAATAACTACTATTTAGGACGGGTGCAGAAAAACCTGGCGACGTGAAAAAATGCACGATAATGTAAGACTCATTGGGATTAAGCGAGCTTGGAATGGGTGCTTCATGGCCCCCACTAGAGAAGCATTGGTCCGGGGATGTTCTGGCAGTCTGGGACTTACCCTTGGAATGCTTTCGCTGCGTGAACGCTGACGAGATTGCCATTGATCTCCATCTTGATTTTCTGCGCCCCGTAGTACCAGTACAAGTTGTGCAGGCCCACCATGAAGGCGAATAGTACCTGGGGTGGAGAGATGGACTTTGGTTATAACAGTACAGCTCTGAAAGTATTACCGTTACATCAAGGCGTGTCAGCTTGTGGGAGGAAGGCCGACGCGAGGCAGGTTGAGGCGTTTACCAACAAGCAGGCGTGTGCTGATGACGAACCTAGAATTGTGATCAGAGCTAATCTGGGATTCGAACTCATGATCATATGTTTCATACACGCTAAAGGAACACAACTCTGCACAACTAATTGCGGCGCCTTGGACTCGTGTGTTTGTTGTAGTCACCGTCACCAAATAAACAGGAATTGGCTTACTCACCAGGGTAAACAGAAATTGACTTACTCGTGTGTAAGTTGTACTCACCCGGGTAAACATACATTGCCTTACTCTTGTGTATGTTTTACTCACCAGGGTAAACAGACATTGACTTACTCTTGTGTATGTTTTACTCACCAGGGTAAACATACATTGCCTTACTCTTGTGTATGTTTTACTCACCAGGGTAAACAGACATTGACTTACTCTTGTGTATGTTTTATTCACCAGGGTAAACAGACATTGACTTACTCTTGTGTATGTTTTACTCACCAGGGTAAACAGACATTGACTTACTCTTGTGTATGTTTTACTCACCAGGGTAAACAGACATTGACTTACTCTTGTGTATGTTTTACTCACCAGGGTAAACAGACATTGACTTACTCGTGTGTAGGTTGGACTCACCAGGGTAAACAGACATTGACTTACTCGTATGTATGTTTTACTCACCAGGGTAAACAGACATTGACTTACTCTTGTGTATGTTTTACTCACCAGGGTAAACAGACATTGACTTACTCGTATGTATGTTTTACTCACCAGGGTAAACAGACATTGACTTACTCTTGTGTAGGTTTTACTCACCAGGGTAAACAGACATTGACTTACTCTTGTGTATGTTTTACTCACCAGGGTAAACAGACATTGACTTACTCTTGTGTATGTTTTACTCACCAGGGTAAACAGACATTGACTTACTCTTGTGTATGTTATACTCACCATGGTTAACAGACATTGACTTACTCGTGGGAATGTTGTACTCACCAGGGTAAACAGACATTGACTTACTCGTGTGTATGTTTTACTCACCAGGGTAAACAGACATTGACTTACTCGTGTGTATGTTTTACTCACCAGGTTAAACAGACATTGACTTACTCTTGTGTATGTTTTACTCACCAGGGTAAACAGACATTGACTTACTCGTGGGAATGTTGTACTCACCAGGGTAAACAGACATTGACTTACTCGTGTGTATGTTTTACTCACCAGGGTAAACAGACATTGACTTACTCGTGTGTAGGTTTTACTCACCAGGTTAAACAGACATTGACTTACTCTTGTGTATGTTTTACTCACCAGGGTAAACAGACATTGACTTACTCGTGGGGATGTTGTACTCACCAGGGTAAACAGACATTGACTTACTCTTGTGTATGTTTTACTCACCAGGGTAAACAGACATTGACTTACTCTTGTGTATGTTTTACTCACCATGGTTAACAGACATTGACTTACTCTTGTGTATGTTTTACTCACCAGGGTAAACAGACATTGACTTACTCTTGTGTATGTTTTACTCACCAGGGTAAACAGACATTGACTTACTCTTGTGTATGTTTTACTCACCAGGGTAAACAGACATTGACTTACTCGTGTGTAGGTTGGACTCACCAGGGTAAACAGACATTGACTTACTCTTGTGTATGTTTTACTCACCTGGGTAAACAGACATTGACTTACTCGTATGTAAGTTTTACTCACCAGGGTAAACAGACATTGACTTACTCTTGTGTATGTTTTACTCACCAGGGTAAACAGACATTGACTTACTCTTGTGTATGTTTTACTCACCAGGGTAAACAGACATTGACTTACTCGTATGTATGTTTTACTCACCAGGGTAAACAGACATTGACTTACTCGCATGCATCTTGTACTCACCAGGGTAAACAAACAATGACTTACTCATGCTGTACTCACCAAGGTAAACGTACAATGACTTACTCATGTTGTACTCACCAGGGTAAACAGCACCATGAACCTGGTGATATCGCCGATCATGCGCCCTAGGGATATCTGCAGGGGGCCCAACACCTCGAAGGCTGGCATGAGGTAGGTGGTGCGTGCAAAGCTGATGACGTTGGCAATGGCGAACAAGACGTCGGAGACAATCTCAGGGTCGTTGGCTTCCCAATGGAACCGTGCTGGAATGGCAGATAGAAAATCTTGTCACGATCTTTTAATTCTTGTCACGTCATACCATGTCCCCTTCCTATCCGGCAAGCTTATTTCCTATTTATTTCCAACCAATACAACAAAGATATACAGCGCTATTCCAGCACGGATTACAACATTCGAATCACAGACGCATAGATGTAGAGAGCTATGCCAACGGTGTGAACGGTATGCCGATTTTGTACAGCTATATGCATATGAAGGAGCGACGTTTCGGTGAAGGTTCTAACACCGTTATCAAGCAAGTCATCATCAATTTCTTGATATCGAATCTACACCGAAACGTCGCTCCTAATTGCAATGAAGAACTTGTTCATCCATATATTTTATCCTTATTAGTACTCAAACTTCTAAATGCCTCTCAAAGAAGCTCTATGCTATGTTTGAATAGAGTTATGCCAGCGTTGTTCAGCGCAGTGACAACGTTGTACAGCTCTATGTCAACGTTGTACAGCTCTATGTCAACGTTTAACAGCTCTATGTCAACTTTGTACAGCTCTATGCCAACGTTGTACAGCTCTATGTCAACGTTGTACAGCTATATGTCAACGTTGTACAGCTCTATGTCAACTTTGTACAGCTCTATTTCAACTTTGTACAGTGCTATTTCAACTTTGAACAGCTCTATTTCAACTTTGTACAGTGCTATTTCAACTTTGAACAGCTCTATGTCAACTTTGTACAGCTCTATGTCAACTTTGTACAGCTCTATGTCAACTTTGTACAGTCCTATTGCAACTTTGTACAGCTCTATGCCAACTTTGTACAGCTCTATGTCAACGTTGTACAGCTCTATGTCAACGTTGTACAGCTCTATGTCAACTTTGTACAGCTCTATGCCAACGTTGTACAGCTCTATGTCAACGTTGTACAGCTATATGTCAACGTTGTACAGCTCTATGTCAACTTTGTACAGCTCTATTTCAACTTTGTACAGTGCTATTTCAACTTTGAACAGCTCTATGTCAACTTTGTACAGCTCTATGTCAACTTTGTACAGCTCTATGTCAACTTTGTACAGTCCTATTGCAACTTTGTACAGCTCTATGCCAACTTTGTACAGCTCTATGCCAACGTTGTTCAGCTCTATGTCAACGTTGAACAGCTCTTTGTCAACTTTGTGCAGCTCTATGTCAACTTTGTACAGCTCTATGTCAACTTTGTACAGCTCTATGTCAACTTTGTACAGCTCTGTTTCAACTTTGTAGAGCGCTAAGCCAACTCTGTGCCTGCCCTTTTGGGTGTAGTAGACCAGTGACTATAAGTACGCCGTTATGATCCCACAAAGCTAACGGTCCTATGAAATACGAGCATTCGGGGAATGCGGTGAAGAAAATCTGCAACCCCTATTGACTTACATGCTTCCATGAAGTAATTGATCTTATGGTTCGGGTTCTTAATCTCAGCAACCAGAAGATGGAAGTATGTGTGGTTTTGTTGCATAAGTAGTTCTCTCGCCCGATTTGTGCCATTGGACGTCCTGCAATACATATCACTCGTGTACACCAACTGCGACACGTTATGTGTATAAGCGATGTTATTACATACTGCAAAATAAAATCGCTGAACAAATTACATTGTTACATATAGAACGATTTATTTTATTGTGGATACTAGTGTGCACTGTGGCAAAAACTTCATGTTATAAAGTGACTGTGTATACTTCGCCTTAAGCTGAACTATTCATTCGCGTGCGTCACTTCTGATGTTTCATTTGGCAGTGAAAAATGTTCGATATCCTATTAGCATTCATGGAGTATATAAAGGCCGTGCTGTCAATTACCTAACGCCTGTATGAACGCGGCGAGCTCAGGGGATAACCTCTCACCAGTGACGTGGCGGGAGTAAAGACATTATTCGTCAGCACAAGGATGAATGTGGGAAGGATACTTTGCACAGAATTTAATAGTGTTTAAAGGGGAATCTCGTTAACTCGAACTCCGATACCGCGATATATCGTGTAAGACGATTCGTTTCATGGTCACAACATTAAGGTTTATATGTCCATCATTTTCTTTCCTCACTGAAGTCGGAGTGAGTGAGTGAGTGAGTTTGGTTTTACGCCGCTTTTAGCAATATTCCAGCAATATCACGGCGGGGGACACCAGAAATGGGCTTCACACATTGTACCCATGTCGGGAATCGAACCCGGGTCTTCGGCGTGACGAGCGAACGCTTTAACCACTAGGCTACCCGACCGCCCCCACTGAAGTCGGAGTCGTTGGGTAGGTAAATATAACAGATAGGTTTAAATATTCTGCAGTCCTGTATATTGGCATTGTAACCATCATAAACAATACGACAATGTTCATGTCAACAACAAATTCCTATCAACAACCTGCATGTAAGTTCTACGTGCTTTCCCATTTCCTTTTTCAAGGACAAAAATATGATCTAATATTTAGGAACCACTGTCGTTCAGGGAATAAATACATTTGACGGTTTTCATACGTGTATTTTAACACTATGTCTGCTGCATATAAATGTATCGTAGGGTATTCCATCAGAATATAGACAAATTGGCGTGTTAAAAAAAGTTCGTTTGTGTGTTAGAGAGAAACATTTACTTAACATGCAACGTAGATAGTTCAGCTTAGGCTCCCAGTTCGTACTGTAGCCGACGCAGTGTGATTGATATAAAGGTCATGACGTATGGTTCAAGTTCTTATTATGCTGAAAAGGTTGTGCCGCGACCTTGACCTCAATTCATGCTGCTTCGGGTAAAGTGCGTACTGATACAACAAAGAGTACTTCGGTGAACACTCGACAATATGGGGTATGAAGATTCACTTCCGGTGAAATGCGAGACAATACGTGGTATGTGTAGGCTCACTTCCGGTGATACAAGTCTGATTACGGTTCGAGCAGCAGACGACATGCGGCTCCGACACACACCAGATACACAACGTGCCACGCTACTATTGATAGTGTGCTCCGACTCTCTGTCACACTCCACGTGCATACTGTGCCCCCAAACAACGACAGTGTGCCCCGACTCTCTGTCACACTCCACGTGCATACTGTGCCAACCAACCACCGACAATGTGCCCCGACTCTCTGTCACACTCCACGTGCATACTGTGCCCCCCAAACACCGACAATGTGCTCCGACTCTCTGTCTCACTCCACGTGCATACTGTGCCCCCCAAACACCGACAATGTGCCCCGACTCTCTGTCTCACTCCACGTGCATACTGTGCCCCCAAACACCAACAATGTGGTCCGACTCTCTGTCTCACTCCACGTGCATACTGTGCCCCCCAAACACCGACAATGTGCCCCGACTCTCTGTCTCACTCCACGTGCATACTGTGCCCCCAAACACCAACAATGTGGTCCGACTCTCTGTCTCACTCCACGTGCATACTGTGCCCCCCAAACACCGACAATGTGCCCCGACTCTCTGTCTCACTCCACGTGCATACTGTGCCCCCAAACACCAACAATGTGGTCCGACTCTCTGTCTCACTCCACGTGCATACTGTGCCCCCAAACACCAACAATGTGGTCCGACTCTCTGTCTCACTCCACGTGCATACTGTGCCCCCCAAACACCGACAATGTGCTCCGACTCTCTGTCTCACTCCACGTGCATACTGTGCCCCCAAACACCAACAATGTGGTCCGACTCTCTGTCTCACTCCACGTGCATACTGTGCCCCCAAACACCAACAATGTGGTCCGACTCTCTGTCTCACTCCACGTGCATACTGTGCCCCCCAAACACCGACAATGTGCTCCGACTCTCTGTCTCACTCCACGTGCATACTGTGCCCCCAAACACCAACAATGTGGTCCGACTCTCTGTCTCACTCCACGTGCATACTGTGCCCCCAAACACCAACAATGTGGTCCGACTCTCTGTCTCACTCCACATGCATACTGTGCCCCCCAAACACCGACAATGTGCCCCGACTCTCTGTCTCACTCCACATGCATACTGTGCCCCCCAAACACCGACAATGTGCCCCGACTCTCTGTCTCACTCCACATGCATACTGTGCCCCCCAAACACCGACTCTCTGTCACACTCCACGTGCATACTGTGCCCCCAAACACCAACAATGTGGTCCGACTCTCTGTCTCACTCCACGTGCATACTGTGCCCCCAAACACCAACAATGTGGTCCGACTCTCTGTCTCACTCCACGTGCATACTGTGCCCCCAAACACCAACAATGTGGTCCGACTCTCTGTCTCACTCCACGTGCATACTGTGCCCCCAAACACCAACAATGTGCTCCGACTCTCTGTCTCACTCCACGTGCATACTGTGCCCCCCAAACACCAACAATGTGGTCCGACTCTCTGTCACACTCCACGTGCATACTGTGCCCCCAAACACCAACAATGTGGTCCGACTCTCTGTCTCACTCCACGTGCATACTGTGCCCCCAAACACCAACAATGTGCTCCGACTCTCTGTCTCACTCCACGTGCATACTGTGCCCCCAAACACCAACAATGTGGTCCGACTCTCTGTCACACTCCACGTGCATACTGTGCCCCCAAACACCAACAATGTGGTCCGACTCTCTGTCTCACTCCACGTGCATACTGTGCCCCCCAAACACCGACAATGTGCTCCGACTCTCTGTCTCACTCCACGTGCATACTGTGCCCCCAAACACCAACAATGTGCTCCGACTCTCTGTCTCACTCCACGTGCATACTGTGCCCCCAAACACCAACAATGTGGTCCGACTCTCTGTCTCACTCCACGTGCATACTGTGCCCCCAAACACCAACAATGTGGTCCGACTCTCTGTCTCACTCCACGTGCATACTGTGCCCCCAAACACCAACAATGTGCCTCGACTCTGTGTCACACTCCACGTGCATACTGTGCCCCCAAACACCAACAATGTGGTCCGACTCTCTGTCTCACTCCACGTGCATACTGTGCCCCCAAACACCAACAATGTGCTCCGACTCTCTGTCTCACTCCACGTGCATACTGTGCCCCCAAACACCAACAATGTGCTCCGACTCTCTGTCTCACTCCACGTGCATACTGTGCCCCCAAACACCAACAATGTGCTCCGACTCTCTGTCTCACTCCACGTGCATACTGTGCCCCCCAAACACCAACAATGTGGTCCGACTCTCTGTCACACTCCACGTGCATACTGTGCCCCCAAACACCAACAATGTGCTCCGACTCTCTGTCTCACTCCACGTGCATACTGTGCCCCCAAACACCAACAATGTGCTCCGACTCTCTGTCTCACTCCACGTGCATACTGTGCCCCCAAACACCAACAATGTGCTCCGACTCTCTGTCTCACTCCACGTGCATACTGTGCCCCCAAACACCAACAATGTGGTCCGACTCTCTGTCACACTCCACGTGCATACTGTGCCCCCAAACACCAACAATGTGCTCCGACTCTCTGTCTCACTCCACGTGCATACTGTGCCCCCAAACACCAACAATGTGCTCCGACTCTCTGTCTCACTCCACGTGCATACTGTGCCCCCCAAACACCAACAATGTGGTCCGACTCTCTGTCACACTCCACGTGCATACTGTGCCCCCAAACACCAACAATGTGCTCCGACTCTCTGTCTCACTCCACGTGCATACTGTGCCCCCAAACACCAACAATGTGCTCCGACTCTCTGTCTCACTCCACGTGCATACTGTGCCCCCAAACACCAACAATGTGCTCCGACTCTCTGTCTCACTCCACGTGCATACTGTGCCCCCAAACACCAACAATGTGGTCCGACTCTCTGTCACACTCCACGTGCATACTGTGCCCCCAAACACCAACAATGTGCTCCGACTCTCTGTCTCACTCCACGTGCATACTGTGCCCCCAAACACCAACAATGTGGTCCGACTCTCTGTCTCACTCCACGTGCATACTGTGCCCCCAAACACCAACAATGTGCTCCGACTCTCTGTCTCACTCCACGTGCATACTGTGCCCCCAAACACCAACAATGTGGTCCGACTCTCTGTCACACTCCACGTGCATACTGTGCCCCCAAACACCAACAATGTGGTCCGACTCTCTGTCTCACTCCACGTGCATACTGTGCCCCCCAAACACCGACAATGTGCTCCGACTCTCTGTCTCACTCCACGTGCATACTGTGCCCCCAAACACCAACAATGTGCTCCGACTCTCTGTCTCACTCCACGTGCATACTGTGCCCCCAAACACCAACAATGTGGTCCGACTCTCTGTCTCACTCCACGTGCATACTGTGCCCCCAAACACCAACAATGTGGTCCGACTCTCTGTCTCACTCCACGTGCATACTGTGCCCCCAAACACCAACAATGTGCCTCGACTCTGTGTCACACTCCACGTGCATACTGTGCCCCCAAACACCAACAATGTGGTCCGACTCTCTGTCTCACTCCACGTGCATACTGTGCCCCCAAACACCAACAATGTGCTCCGACTCTCTGTCTCACTCCACGTGCATACTGTGCCCCCAAACACCAACAATGTGGTCCGACTCTCTGTCTCACTCCACGTGCATACTGTGCCCCCAAACACCAACAATGTGCCTCGACTCTCTGTCTCACTCCACGTGCATACTGTGCCCCCCAAACACCAACAATGTGCCCTGTGTACGTGACAGCGATGTAGCACCGTTTCGCACGTCGTTAACGACGTCGCTAGACTAGGCTGGACGCGCGTCTTTTTCGATAGAAAAACATATCGCTTGTGTGTACTTTAGATACAAAGGAACCTGCATGTCTGAAGACAACATCAATCCTACCTCCGATATGAAATTAAAGAGGATCGTATTTATCAAACAAATACACACGGGATTTCATTCATTTCATTTGTTCATATAGATCGATGATTCACAATGTCAAGACGGATAACATCATTAATATCGGCATCAAAATAGCAATGTCTGTGTATGAACTTTTGTGTTAAGATATTTCACATACAACGCCCTCTCGATCAACTACGACCTATAAAGCCCTCCGACATCATATATAATACAGTGGATTTACTGGAAGCTGAGTTAATCTCTAGGCGGACGCGACAAGGTCTCGTATCGCTTGAACCACTTTACAGCAATATGATGGTTGATGAGACGACGTAATCATGTGGGAATTAAACACAACTCTTGTCCATTTCGCGCAGGCGCACATACCACTAGGCTACCTTATTGGGATAGGACAACGCACCGCGTTCCTTTGCGTGTACGGACCCATAATTGTGGAGGTGTTGTGTGTGTAGAATATAGGTAGACATTTAGAAACTGCATTTATCAAAACAAAAGTAGTGCAAATACATGTGTATTGGTTAGACACACATGACAGCCAGGCGAGCTGTGGCAACACACACAACCATATGTCTCCTGTGTTAGAAGTTGGTGCCTCAAGATAGAGAGACGAACGACAGACACAAACACAGACAAAGCCCGGCAGAAAGTCGCGGTGGATTGGTTACCTGTCGGCCTCCGATACCTTGTACTCTGTGAAGAACCGCAACACATACGAAGCAAGATACATTGTTAGCATACTGAAATCCATAAAGTTATAATAGTCCGTGGTATAGGATCGGGCGCCAGAGTGGTACACCTGCTTGCACTCGATCCATAACACACCTGCAATGAGAGAGAGTTGGAGCTATCTACATGGCTAGACTGTGGGGTGAGGAGGGAAGGGCGATAACTGTGTTTACCTGTCGGCCGCCGCTACCTGGTACTCCGTGAAGAATCGAAGGACGTATGATGCTAGATACATAGATAAGACACTAAAATCAATGAAGTTATAATAGTCCGTGGTGTAAGCCCGGGCTCCTGAGATGTACACTTGTTTGCATTCAATCCATAGAAGACCTGCAATGAAACGGAGTAGAATAGATTCATGCAAAGTGTTACCTTCTTGCTTGACAAACGGTGCACATATTATCCCCGTCAGATACCGCAGGCCTCTAGCCTATCATCAAGGGCACGCAATGCGCTGGATGCTGTGCGTGCGTCTACGACAACGACAGTCGCGGTGTTAACATCGCCGCGTGTACTGGCTACAGTTCGTGAAATGTTTATCAGTTTTCCATCTAAAATATTGAATTTGGGTCTGATAAGACTCTTACTAAACCAAAAATTAGTTTTTGTTCTGAAAGTCTGTTCTGGTTTGCTGTTTCATTGTAAGTGTCATACACCATTATGATTGTAAGATCTAACTTAGACTGACGTCTTGCACATACAACTCATGTGGTTAAGTTTGCGTGAAAAACCTTGGAATGATTGTCGAACAACGTCAATATTCCTCAAAGTCAGTATACTTGGCTTTCCTTGTTACTCTCCCAGTACCGGAAGTGCCATTGTCGCCATGTTCACCTTTCTATAAACATACACTAAGAGCTGTAGGGAAGAAGTAGGCCGCAATAAGGAACGTGATTGGTCATCATACCGGGGAGCACGGGTGGCCCAGTCGTCTAAGGCGCCGTGATTCGCTGTGCAGAGTTGCATCCCTTGGGAACGCCAGAAACCTAGGATTATGGGTTCGAATCCCGGTTCGCCCCGCTTTTGTTTCTAGGTTTGTTAGTACCATACCCGTGCTCGTGGGTTTCACCGAGGTGGTAAACGTCTGAGACCTGCATCACTTCGGGCTTTCCTCCCACATTAAGCTGACACGCCGTGATTACTGTCAAAAGCGGCGTTAAACCCAACTCACTCTCTCGTTCTTCATACCGATATGTAGGCTTTGCGGGAATTTGCAAATGTTTCTGAAATCTTCTTAGACACCACAAGCGCAGTGGAAGATTATGTGTGATCACCCTAATGAAATATTGTAATTCGAAGCATCATTTTTGTATGATGATTGATGGTTGGTTTCTGAACGATATAACTGACACTTTATGGGGTTTTTTGTACAGCAATAGGTCAAACGTGCTGAAACTGATCGTGAATGTAAAAAATGTAATGCAATTATGCTGCGGTTTTCTGATTAAGTTTCTGTAAGATAGACAGCTAGATTGTTTTTATATTCATAGATGGGTATTGTAGTAACAAGTCTCAAGGCTGTGCAGACAGCGCGTCAGAACCAGAGTCTCATTCCTAGTCGCGGTGTCCACTGTCACAGACTGGAGATATCACATTGTAAAGTGCATTGTGTAGACGCATTGTGATATGATGACATCTGTGTCTCCCAGTCTGATAGTGACGTGCTGACAGCATCTGTTTCCCCTAGTCTTTGTTTCCCAAGTCTAATAACGCCAGACTTACGTCTGTTTCCCCTCTTCAGATAACGCCATACTTACGTCTGGTTCTCCTAGTCAGATAACGCCAGACTTACGTCTGTTTCCCCTAGTCAGATAACGCCAGGCTTACGTCTGGTTCTCTTAGTCAGATAACGCCATACTTACGTCTGATTCTCCTAGTCAGATAACGCCAGACTTACGTCTGTTTCCCCTAGTCAGATAACGCCAGGCTTACGTCTGGTTCTCTTAGTCAGATAACGCCATACTTACGTCTGATTCTCCTAGTCAGATAACGCCAGACTTACGTCTGTTTTCCCTAGTCAGATAACGCCAGACTTATGTCTGTTTTCCCTAGTCAGATAACGCCAGACTTATGTCTGTTTCCCCTAGTCAGATAACGCCAGGCTTACGTCTGTTTCCCCTCTTCAGATAACGCCATACTTACGTCTGGTTCTCCTAGTCAGATAACGCCAGACTTACGTCTGTTTCCCCTAGTCAGATAACGCCATACTTACGTCTGATTCTCCTAGTCAGATAACGCCAGACCTACGTCTGTTTCCCCTAGTCAGATAACGCCAGGCTTACGTCTGTTTCTCCTAGTCAGATAAGGTCATGCTGACAACGTCTTTTTCCCCTAGTCTGATAATATCGCGCTGACAGCGTGTGTTTCCCCTAGCCTTTGTTTCCCTGGGCAGATAACGCCATGCTTACGTCTGTTTCTCCTAGTCAGATAACACCATGATCACATCTGATTCTCATATTCTGATAACGTCATGCTGACGTCTGTTTCCCTTTGTTACATAATGTCATGTTGTGGTCCTAGTCGCACCACGATACGTTGTCAGTGTCTATTGTTGTAGTCGCACCTAGTTATGTTGACTGTTGCTATACTTAAGGTCATGGTAGTTAATATCCCAGCTACACGAGGCTATGTTCGACCACAGTTATGTTGACTGTTGCTGTAGTCAACGTCATGGTAGTTAATATCCCAGCTACACGAGGCTATGTTCGACCATATGAGCTGTGGTAGGTGTATTTTTAGAGGGACTGATAAACATTAGACGAATATTTCAGACACGATGCCAAGGCTCCGGGAGTGGCGGGCCGTGACCATGAAGGGGCAATGAGCGCCAGGGTAGAGTGAACAAGACAAGTGGGTGATGATGGGGTCGTGGCGTGGTGTGTGGGTGGCTATTGAGGTGATGGTTGGGGTGTGGTGTGTGGGTGGGTATTGAGGTGATGGTTGGGGTGTGGTGTGTGGGTGGGTATTGAGGTGATGGTTGGGGTGTGGTGTGTGGGTGGGTATTGAGGTGATGGTTGGGGTGTGGTGTGTGGGTGGGTATTGAAGTGATGGTTGGGGTGTAGTGTGTGGGTGGGTATTGAGGTGATGGTTGGGGTGTGGTGTGTGTGTGGGTATTGAGGTGATGGTTGGGGTGTGGTGTGTGGGTGGGTATTGAGGTGATGGTTGGGGTGTGGTGTGTGGGTGGGTATTGAAGTGATGGTTGGGGTGTAGTGTGTGGGTGGGTATTGAAGTGATGGTTGGGTAGTGGTGTGTGTGTGGGTATTGAGGTGATGGATAGGGTGTAGTGTGTGGGTGGGTATTGAAGTGATGGTTGGGCTGTGGTGTGTGGGTGGGTATTGAGGTGATGGATAGGGTGTGGTGTGTGGGTGGGTATTGAAGTGATGGTTGGGGTGTAGTGTGTGGGTGGGTATTGAAGTGATGGTTGGGTAGTGGTGTGTGTGGGGGTATTGAGGTGATGGATAGGGTGTAGTGTGTGTGTGGGTATTGAAGTGATGGTCGGGGTGTAGTGTGTGTGGGGGTATTGAAGTGATGGTTGGGCTGTGGTGTGTGTGGGTATTGAAGTGATGGTCGGGGCGTAGTATTTGTGTGGGTATTTAAGTGATGGTTGGGGTGTAGTGTGTGTGTGGGTATTGAGGTGATGGTTGGGTTGTGGTGTGTGTGTTGGTATTCAGGTGACGGTTGGGGTGTAATGTGTGGGCGGGTATTGAAGTGATGGTTGGGGTGTAATGTGTGGGCGGGTATTGAAGTGATGGTTGGGGTGTAGTGTGTGGGTGGGTAATGAGGTGATGGTTGGGGTGTAGTGTGTGTGTGGGTTATTGAGGTGATGGTCGGGGTGTAGTGTGTGTGTGGGTATTGAGGTGATGGTTGGGGTGTAGTGTGTGTGTGGGTATTGAAGTGATGGTTGGGCTGTGGTGTGTGAGTGGGTATTGAGGTGATGGTTGGGTTGTGGTGTGCGTGGGTATTGAAGTGATGGTCGGGGTGTAGTGTGTGGGTGGGTATTGAAGTGATGGTTGGGCTGTGGTGTGTGGGTGGGTATTGAGGTGATGGTTGGGTTGTGGTGTGTGTGGGTTTTGAAGTGATGGTCGGGGTGTAGTGTGTGTGTGGGTATTGAAGTGATGGTCGGGGTGTATTGTGTGTGTGGGTATTGAGGTGATGGTCGGGGTGTAGTGTGTGTGTGGGTATTGAAGTGATGGTCGGGGTGTAGTGTGTGTGGGTATTGAAGTGATGGTTGGGGTGTATGGTGTGGGTGGGTATTGAGGTAATGGTTGGTGGGTGGTGTGTGTGTGGGTATTGAAGTGATGGTTGGGCTGTGGTGTGTGGGCGGGTATTGAAGTGATGGTTGGGGTGTAGTGTGTGTGTGGGTATTGAAGTGATGGTCGGGGTGTAGTGTGTGGGTGGGTATTGAAGTGATTGTTGGATTGTGGTGTGTGGGTGGGTATTGAAGTGATGGTTAGGGTGTAGTGTGTGGGTGGGTGGGTAATGAGGTGATGGTTGGGGTGTAGTGTGTGTGGGGGTATTGAGGTGATGGTCGGGGTGTAGTTAGACTGGGGTTAGACTGATAGATATAAGATATACGAAGGTAAGATTATGGAGGGGTTATACTGACAAAAGTAGGATATAAAAGGGGGAATTTATCGAGGGGTTAGACTGACAGAAGTAGGATATACCAAAATACGTTTATGGAGGGTTTAGACTGACAACAGTTGGTTATAACAAGGTGAGTTTATCGAGGGGTAAGACTGACAACTGTTGGATATACCAAGGTGAGCTTATCGAGGGGAGTTGGTTAGGCAACTGTTGAATACATAGGATACGGGCTTGTGTTTCAGGACATCGTCAGTGTGATTGATGCATTAGTTACCCTGCACGGCAGCGAGGTGGTGTTACCGCTGTCCGGGAGGTCGCTGCGAGCACTTACCTTGTCCCAGGGACTAGTCAGGTTCTAGAACACTGGTCTACTAGTCGTAATGGACATGCGCAAGAAGGAGAAATAGGCTTCATTCGCATTGCTATAGCACGATGGTTGCCAAGCAACACCAAACACCCATCACCATGGAAACAGGTGTCTACCCGCATGCATATAAGCAGAAGCAGAAGGCAGGTGGTATTTATCAAACACCTACAGTATGAGAACCATGCCGATAAAACATGCTTAGAAATCGCACAATGAGATCAAATTTAGAAATGGAGTTATTATTCACATCATACAAAACATTTTACATGTTTAGTTACGTTTCTACATACATCTGGACATGTTATTCAAATGCACTGGAAGATTATGTAACTATTACAATACATACCCAAAGCGCCAAACATACAGTCCCGATAATACTTACCTATTATACACGTTGTCAATCATCCTGACACGTTTGAAGTCATGAATGCACATAATCTAACTCACATATCATTGGCTAAGGACATCCTGACGTGGCATTTTACCGTATGTGTTTCAAATCTATAAAGACTCCAATTATCAAATACTCTAATTCTCAATTTCAATTATATATTATATCGTTATATTACATTCATTATATTATTATAATACACATCTGCAGGTGCAGTAACTCAATATCCAAAACACACCTCACATGCCCTCACATAATATGCAAAATACTATACATAACTATAGTTGCCCTAACTCACCTAAATCCAAAATATTATACGTAACCAAAGTTGCCCTAACTCACCTAAATCCAAAATACTATACGTAACTATAGTTGCCCTAACTCACCTAAATCCAAAATACTATACGTAACTATAGTTGCCCTAACTCACCTAAATCCAAAATATTATACGTAACTATAGTTGCCCTAACTCACCTAAATCCAAAATATTATACAGATGTAGGTGCCCTAACTCACCTAAATCCAAAATACTATACGTAACTATAGTTGCCCTAACTCACCTAAATCCAAAATACTATACATAACTAAAGTTGCCCTAACTCACCTAAATCCAAAATACTATACGTAACTATAGTTGCCCTAACTCACCTAAATCCAAAATACTATACGTAACTATAGTTGCCCTAGCTCACCTAAATCCAAAATACTATACGTAACTATAGTTGCCCTAACTCACCTAAATCCAAAATACTATACGTAACTATAGTTGCCCTAACTCACCTAAATCCAAAATATTATACGTAACTATAGTTGCCCTAACTCACCTAAATCCAAAATATTATACAGATGTAGGTGCCCTAACTCACCTAAATCCAAATTACTATACAGATGTAGTTACCCTAACTCACCTAAATCCAAATTACTATACAGATGTAGTTGCCCTATCTCACCTAAATCAAAAATACTATACAGATGTAGTTGCCCTAACTCACCGAATGTCCAAATTACTATACAGATGTAGGTGCCCTAACTCATCAAATATACAAAATACTATACAGATGTAGTTACCCTAACTCACCTAAATCCAAAATACTATATAGATGTAGTTGCCCTAACTCACCAAATATCCAATATAATATACAGATGTAGTTACCCTAACTCACCTAAATCCAAAATACTATATAGATGTAGTTGCCCTAACTCACCTAAATCCAAAATACTATATAGATGTAGTTGCCCTAACTCACCTAAATCCAAAATACTAAACAGATGTAGTGCCCTAACTCGACGAATGTCCACATTACTAAACAGATGTAGTTGCCCTAACTCACCAAATATCCAAAATACTATAATTATCTATACGTGCAGTAGCTCACCTAATATCCAAAATACTATACAGATCTGCACATGAGTGATGAGTGTATTCGCTGGGCGGAGGGTTTCCTTCAAGATATTCTGTATCTTCTCCTCGCTGCTGAGATGGGCGTACTTGGTTTCATTAATCTCAGTGGTTTGGGTGATTGTCTCCCCTGACTCGGTGATGCGGAACGTGGCGGCCGCCAGGAGGATGAGGAAACAGATGTGTGACGTCGTGTGCGTGATGAACTTCGTCACTGGGCAGCGCATGATGCGCCCAAACTGAAGAGAGAAGAATTAGAGATAGTGTACATAGTGTGTGTGAGTGGTTGGGTGGACTGATCTGCTCAAGCCACACAAAAAACAGGGTACGATTCCTCACACTGATCAATGATGTGAAACCCGTGATTGTTTGTATTTTGCTTAACGCCGCACTCAGCAATATCCCAGCTATATGACGGTGGTCTGCAAATAATCGAGTCTGGGCCAAACAATCCAGTGACTGACATCATGAGCATCGATCTACGCAATTGGGACACGATGACATGCATCAACCAAGTCAGCGAGCCTGACCCCCGGGTCCCCGTCTCAATGGTCTGTCGCGTTAATTATCATTCACCAAATATAAGTGTGACCCCACCGATGGCACCGGTCATAAACACATGCAAAGGAGAGTCAAGAGTTCACTTGAATATAACACGTGAACATATGGTAATACACACTCAAAATACGACATTGCATCGAACATGAATGTCCTCTAACTGTCCACCACAAATGCTTTACTAAGGCTTTTAATGTCGTAACCGTTGTCGAACTCGTATGTTTTTGAAATCTTGGTAAAAGGGGCATGATCGAATTTACCTGAAAAGTTGTGAAATGTAAACACCAAAGGCTGTAGCTACAGTAATATTGCTGGACATAAAGGGAGAGCTGAGTATTGGAAAGTTGAAGTCATACCTCTTGTCATAGTTTTTTTAAGAATTTGGGGAAAAGGTACCTCATGGCGACGTATGCAATTAATAGTCACATGCGATAACAAGAATTGCAACAGGAACGACAGAACGACGTGACGACATGACGACGTTATTCTTACGTGACTTCGTCTTTGTCACTGTGGCCATAGTGCAAAGAGAATGATATCTCTCCTCGCTGCAATAATTGTAATGATCCGGTACCCGAACCTGAAAAATGTCACGTTCTCGAATGGTCTTGTTTTAACTTCAGTAACAACCTTAGAAATACAGTATTAAAGAGCGAAAATAAATGTTCGATTTTGACGAGGTTTGGTCCAATTATGTTCGCCTCAAATTGTTTTTCAGTGTTCTATAAACAGATCATCTCCCACTGCATAGACGGGGTTCAGCTGACCAATCTAAGTGACGACTGAAACGCGCTTTTACTGAATCTTTAGCATCTGTAATTTCCATTGTCTCTCGAGGGAACGAGGGTCCTGATAGGGCATACTGTACAAACTATCGCAAGATGAGTCAAATATGTATCATAAGAGATTAATGCAAAATGTCCATAGAAAATGTTTGGCTTTAGTTAAAATTAACACAGTGTTCCTAATCGTACTAAAATCTCGTAAAGGTCGTAAACGTAACGACGGTGTGGTCAGTCTGGCCATTTATGCTGTCGTAGATGTATCACAACACTGGGGAACGTCCAGGTAACTTGCACAGCTTGGGTCCGATCCGTTTGTGTCATAGGCGATACACTGCCGGGCAAAACAAAGTACACACCCATGGTAGCTACAGTAAAACAAACTAGAAATGCTTATTCGAGTGTGATGTGATGAGCAGGTTGAAGCAGGTATTGACACGATCAGTTTGAGCAGGTTACAGATGCCAAAAAATTCAGCCTAGTAACGTTCAGATAACGTTTGTAATTTTTTTGGGTGAAATCATATTTTCAAGTGTATACTTTCTTTTGACCGTCAGACTACTTTCTCGGCAATTATGTCATTAGTCATTCTCGACATCCGCACAGACGTGGTCAGGTTCGACGATCACTGGGTTCCGAATGTCATACAAGTCCAATGTGACACAGGTCGCACACGCCGACTGGGCCTACTGTGGCCCACTAATAGGGAGACTGATTTAACATCAGTACATAAACCTTAATTCTCCAATGCCGGGTGGATTCACGAAGGCTCTGTTTCTAAGGATGGACAGGTGATGGATATTCATGAAGGCTCTGTTTCTAAGGATGGACAGTTGGTTGATATCCATGAAGGCTCTGTTTCTAAGGATGGACAGTTGGTTGATATTCATGAAAGCTCTGTTTCAAAGGATGGACAGTTGGTAGATATTCATGAAAGCTCTGTTTCAAAGGATGGACAGTTGGTAGATATTCACGAAGGCTCTGTTTCAAAGGATGGACAGTTGGTAGATATTCACGAAGGCTCTGTTTCAAAGGATGGACAGTTGGTAGATATTTGGCAGTTTCTTTGGCCTAAGAATGAAACAACAGTTGACGGATTGTACTTCATTCACAGACATACGCGTCCTCGCGATCTACCGGCAGATACGCGTGTGTGTAACTTGCAGACATAATCGCACCGATATAATACCCAATGCAGGACAGAGTCCATCATCCCACAGTCCAAAGGTCTTTAATTCAATCATGAAGGTACTGCGCCACTGTTTCAATTCCCGATAATATACTCTAAGTTCATGGTTGGTGTGCTTACTTTATCCTTATCCTATTTAATCGTCGCTGATTGTCCTTAGGAAGTTGAAGAGACTGACACGGCATGACTTTCATTTTAACAATGAAATGGGTTCACTTTTGGTAAGGAGCCAAGTGATTTCAATCTGACAGTGAAAAAACGTTAATCCGGTCTCAGTTATTGGCAGCGACTCCTCTGGTTGAGTTAGACATTACAGTGACAATAAATACCCCATCGATTGCCCACTGCCAGCATCCCAGTGCCTTGCTCCTCTCACGGTAATGACGGACAAGCAATGTTAGGAGTCTGTAGATGGTCCCTACCGACGATAGCGCATATATCTGAATACACATCTAACCGCTCCTAGCTTAGAAGGAAGATCTAGATTTAAGACAAGTCTTTAAATTAGCTTTAGAGAGTGAATTTTAAGATGTTGAAGTGACTGATTTGGGAAAAAAAGGCCAAGGGAAGATGTGTTAGGAAAAGAAGTAGGGTGTGGAGTGCTGGGTAAGATTGATCGCCTGACGCAGGGCCACGGGGAGATTTAGAACCATCTTGGAAACCAATAGGATGCAGAGTCCACTGATGACCGGTCGGTGCATCAGGCTGTACTGATTTATAGACTTAAAGAGGTTGTGTATCGATAACCAATCATTCCCGCCTTATAACCGGAAACAATCAGCGGACATTATACTGGCGCATGCTGGGTAGGCCAGTTCTGACGATGTTGTAAGTCACGTGACATCATGCCTGGCTGCGTCCCCGGATGAAGAGTACCATGTTAAATGTGCAGATGCAATATGGATGAGAGAGACTCAAAATAGCAACTGAGAAAGAATAATGCTAAAAAGACAGGCATGAAATTAATCCAATATATCACAAATAAGCTTAGTTTCCAGTACATGTGATTCCTATTAATGAAGTAATGATCATAAAGCGCAATCGATTTAAGGAATGAACTTGCGAAAAATTGAAAGCACATGTCAGAATTCGAATACAGATCTAATGGCTTCAAAGCGCTGCCATGCTTTCGCATAGTGTTCAGTACGTCCGTCAGCACCCCCGTCATGTCGGAGACGCATAAGCCGCCGCAGTGAGGGAAATACAGTCAACATGAGGTAAACCTCATTTGAAAATAAGACACATAAACAGTCGGCTAGGCTGCCTTATCTACATGAACAGGCCGATACATTGATATTTTCTGTCGTTATTCTTTGCGTGACTGATTGCTTCGAACGTAGTGGATCAGCCAACAGACTCCAATACAGCTCCAGTTGATACATGTGCAGTTTCATCATGAAGCTCCCGCGTTTCTGTCACAATGACGAGTTCGATCTCCACTTGTCGACGTTCAAAATCGCACATACTTGAAGGCGCAGAGATAACACCAATAAACACCATGTATGCATGTCGTATACCAAGGACCGCCTCCGTGGTCTAGTGGTAGAGCGTCCGCCCGGAGAGCGGAAAGTCCGGGGCTCGATTTCCGACCGCGTCATACCGTTAAAAGATGGTACTTGTTGTTACCCTGTACTTGTTGTTACCCTGTCTGGCGCTCGGCATTAAGGGGCTAAAAAAAGGACTGGTCGGCTCGGAGTCAGTATACTGTGTCTGAGTAGGGTATTCATGTTAAACTGCGGCATGGTATCTCAGTGAGCTAGCACTATAAATCGGCATCAGTCCGGACTAGTACAAGCAGCCACACACACACACACACGCGTGCATGCACGTCGCTATATAAGTGCAATAATCTTGGACGCGACGTTAAACCCCATTTCACCTCACCTCACTTATACCCAGCGTTACCCAGCACCTCGCAGTGTCGGGGTTCGCCAGCATTCATCAGGGCCATCAATTTGTACATGACGTAGTATCAGGTTACAGTATACATGTCATAATGTCATTGGCATTACATTCAACATGACGTTATGCCAGGACCATGGAAGTATTTGTACTTTGACTTTCCGATTCCCGTGATCGGATTGGAACACAAGACCCCTTGCTTTCATGACTAAAGAGGTTAAACCATCAGCAAGCTGACAAGGTAGGGATACGATCTGTGGAATGTCCACGTTCTGCTAACAAATGTCATGGACATTCCAGTATACATGACGCAATGTCATGGTCATTCCAGTATACATGACGTAATGTCAGAGTAATAACAGTATACAATACGTAATATTAGGGTCAGAGAAGTATACATGACGTAATGTCAGGGCAATAACAATATACACGACGTTATGTCTGGGTCATAGCAGTATACATGACGTAATGTCTGGGCCATAAAAATATGCATGATGTTATGTCTTGGTCATAGCAGTATACAAGACGTAATGTCTGGGTCATAGCAGTATACATGATGTAATGTCAGGGTCATGGCAGTATACATAATGTAATGTCAGGGTCATAGCAGTATACAAGACGTAATGTCAGGGTCATAACAGTATAGATGATGTAATGTCAGGGTCAAAACAATATACGACGTAATGTCAGGGTTATAGCAGTATACATGACGTAATGTCAGGGTCATAACAATATGCATGATGTAATTTCCGGATCAGAGCAGTATACATGACGTAATGTCTGGGTTATAGCAGTATACATGACGTAA